TCGCATAAAAATATCTCTCTAAAGATAAAAATATAAAAAATATTGATTTTGTAAAATTTTCTCAATTTTTTTCAATTTTGTCATATTTTTGGCATATTTTCATTTTGAATTAAACATTTGGTAATATTTCTACAGCTAACAAAACTAAGTAGTTAGGATATCAGGATATCATATACAAATCGCATTTATGGCCCGATCCTTACGAAATTTTGCATGGGGATAAGATGAGGGTCAGAATAGAAGCCTACTCTTTTTGGAGATGATCGCCATATATTTAGGGGTTGAAATGGACCAAAAAAAAAACTGCAAAATTGTCGGCAGGTCGTAATTATCGCCCGATCCTCACGCACATTTGAATGGGGGTTACCGGACATTGCAAAAGCCAAGCAGTTTTGGATGGCCATCCAAAAATATTCAATGTGTGAAATAGTTTGCCAACTTTTGTAGACAAAATACGAAAATGTCTATTCCAGAGACTTTTTGGAGAATTCACAAATACAGGAAAGACGCACTTCTGACTATTTCGTTAACGAATATAGTCAAATGTCTGTATCTCATATAGATGCGTTTCAGTCAAAAACCAATAATAAATGTTAATCTTTTGCCACTTCTGAGAGATTATAGGTCTTTGGGAAATATTGGTTCCAGATCTAGGAAGACCGTTTACGTGCAACATCGACCAATAAATTGGAAATGAGCAAATTAGTTTAAGTTGCTATTATTCGAAAATTAGAGAACGAAACCTGATGGCTTTCTTTTATAATTTGTCACAATATCTTGTGGAATTCTTTCGAGTATCTCACCTATATAAACTGTATCGTTTATTATAGTGTTGTAGGGTATTCAACGGTCGGCCCCGCTCGACTGTAGCCTTTGCTTACTTGTAAGTGGAGAACGATGGTAATGTTTACCAGGGAATAAAGCAGGGAATATCTAGGTTTCGAAAAGAGCCACCAATCCTCATCATTGACGATCGATATATAAACAGCCTGAGTAATGAACCTCTAGAGGCTGTATTCTTGCTCTACGACAATATGAAATTGCAAAATACGGATCTGGCAAATAATTGGTAATACGTAAAAAAGCAACAAAGCAAAAAAACAATTTCGTTTTTTTTTTTCAGGAATGAGTAATGTCAGCACAACGTGTGCACATCCGTCTTTAACGTCGAAAGTTGTGAGTTCGGAAGTCGGCATTGGTTATCGCAGAAAGGGGTGGATCTGTACATACATGGTTCTGCACCGGAGGTAGAACCCATTACGAAATATATAAATAACAATTATTTTTCGAAAATGTGCGTGAAAGCGGAAAAATACCAAATATCCGAGGACATATACAGGGTGAGATAAAAAAAACTGCAAAAAAGTCAAACGCCATAATTTTTACATTATTTTTATACCCTCCACCATACTAAGGAGGGTATATTAATTTTGTCATTCCGTTTGTAACTCCTCGAAATACTCATGTCAGACCCAACAAAGTATATATATTCTTGATCAGCGTAAAATTCTAAGACGATTTAGCCATGTCCGTCTGTCTGTCCGTCTGTCTGTCTGTCTGTTGTAATCACGCTATCTATCGAACAAATTGAGATAGAAGGCTAAAATTTTGCACACATGTATATTTTGCCAGTAGGCAGGTTAAGTTCGTAAATGGGCCATGTAGGTCCAAGTTATCATATAGCCCCCATATAACGATACCTCCCGATATTCGGTATTTTGATGATTTTAGCGACATTATTTACCGGAATTGTTTCAAATTTGGTATTTGAAGTTCGTAATGGATACTACAGCCTAAGCCAGAAAATTATCTGTGCAGATCCACGTCTTCGTATAGCCCCCATATACCGTACCCCCGATATTCGGTATTTTGATGATTTTAGCGACATTATTTACCGGGATTGTTTCAAATTTCGCATGTGAAGTTCGTAATGGATACTTCAGCCGATGCCAGAAAATTGTCTGTGCAGGTCCACGTCTTCGTGTAGCCCAAATATAACGGCACCCCCCATATTCGGTATTTTGATGATTTTAGCTACATTATAAACAGATTTTTCTTCTAGTTTTGTAATAACTTATGACAAAAGTTGCCTATACAGGCCCACGTCGTCGTATAAGCATTCGGTATTTTTAAGATTTTAACAGAATTTTTAACGGATTATATTTTTTGGAAATTCCCAAATTTGTACCAAATGGTGGAGGGTATTAAAAGTTCGGCCCGGCCGGACTTACAGCTTTTTTACTTGTTTTTTTTTTTTTAATTTTATTGAATGAAGGCTTGAGGTGATCGACACTTTGGTATTTTTAGTGCCAACCTTGCTTTCCAAAATACTCCAGGGTCAACAGTCCAACGGATAGGTATCCGGAGATTTTGGTAGACATTATACGTTGGAAATGAAGTAAGGAACCTCTTTTTGTAACCATTCTTGGGTGGCGCGTCCTGTTGGAATGTCCAAGGTCTGCGGCCAAAAATTGCCGGAATTCGGAATTTATTCTAATGCCACGGTCGATGAATAAGATATGTTCAGCTCACGAGCCATTTTTCGGCCACTGCGGCGAGGGTTTCGATCAAGTCGCTTTACTTTTCGAACCGTTTCTGCTGTTTCTTTCCGTCCACTTCTTTGACGTCGGGCTACGCTACCAGTATCACGATAACGAGCGATGATACGAGACACAAAAGATTTATTCACATTTAAATGCTGGAGTGCCCTAATGCTCTAACGATAGCCATTTGTGGTTTTCCAGCCAAATATAAAGAAATCACACTATTACGCTTGAATACCATCACGAATAACTCGTTTTCTGGAAAATTCTCCCCAAAACGCTTGTAAACAATATAATGAGCTGTCAGTGGAATAATTTTAACAGCTGTCGGATGAGTGGCTTAGAAATGACAGCAGTCTGAAGTTGGTTATAGTTTTTCCCTGTATATATGGATCTTCCCATCTCGCCGAGCTGAGTCGATCTAGCTATATATATCCGTCTGTCCATGCTAATTTGTAATCAAGCTACAGGTCGCAAATTTGGCCCGATACTCACGAAATTGAAAATGGAGGTGGGGTTAGGGCAGGATAGAAGCCAGATTTCCTGATTTTGCAGTTGCTCTGCAGGCCACAATTATAGACCAATCGACGCGAAATTTAGCATGGAGTTTGAAGTTAGGCTTGGACGGAAGCCTACCAACTTGTAGATCCTAACTTTTATGTAAGAAAATACCAAAATTTTCAATTGCCCGTGAATATCTTTAATCCTATCGAAGCCAGAGACATCTATTCTGTTATTCAAAATATCGATATATAGCAAATTAGGTATAATATATATGTAAAAGAAATTGATCTTAGTTATTTCGCATACAAGTCAAGAAATCTCACCAATTCAAAATGTCCTGTCGCCAGAAAACTAAAAAATCTAAGAAAATCGCGGAAAAAATTACAAATAAAAAAGTGAATATTTTTTGTTACATTTTTTTCAGTTATTGTCATATTTTTTATCGCATGCGATTTTTTCAATTTGACTTACAATTTTGAATCATACATTTTGTCAAGTTTTTTTTCCACTCTACAACACTATGTGTTGAGGGTATTATATACAGATCGCAATTATCGTCCGATCCTCACGAAATTTTTCACAGGGGTAGGGTTAGAATCAAATTAAAGCCTATTGTTTTAAAATGTGTACATTTAGGGACAAAAAAAAATTATTTTCCTGATTTTGCTGTCCCTCTATAGGTCACAATTTGAATCCAATCGACATGGGATTTTGCATGAGGAGACCGTTAAGGACAGGACAGAAGTCCAGCATTTTGGATAACCATTGGATTAACCTCAGCGGTAAAATAGTGTGAATTGTTTCGTGTGAAATTGTTTTGAATGCCTATCAGCACGACAGAGAACGTATTATTTCGGAAACGAAATCTGACAAAATGGACCTACGGCGGCTTCCAACAAAATATAGTGTTGTAGGGTATCACATGGTCGGCCCCGCACTGCTATAGCATTTGCTTAATTGTTTTATATATAGACTAGCTGAATTCGGTGCCCCTTGCTGCCACTTTTGGTTTTATATGCATTTCAAATTTTATATTTGAATATTTTGTTGTTTTTATGTAAAAATGTATATGGGAGCTACATAAAAATCTTAACCGATTTCAAAATAATTTGGTAAACTTATTTTTGTACCAAATTCCGTTACCCATATCAACTTAGAAGACTATATCTAACAATAGATAAGTTCATACCAAATCTGATTTTTTTTGAGGTACCTCCGATATCTCCAGTTCCAATGTATAGAGCCTATGCTCCTTTTAGGAGATGCTGTAGTATATTTGGAAATGTGCAGGAAAATCTGTTCAGCGGTTTTAAAGTCTATAAATTACAAAAGAAACAAATAATCAAACGTTCAAACATTTTCCTCTTGTATTGATATAAAAGATTAGGAAAATTCTGCATACATTTTCGAACCAAATTTGAGTAGTGATGTGGTATCACAATTATCGCACAAATATTATATATGAAATGACATTATGGCTTAGCGCCCACTTGCCATTTCTCCTACCCGATGACAAAGTTCCACATAGTATTTGGTTATAAATCCAAATTTAGGGTATTTTGAAGAACTTATTCTAATTTCCCAAACCAATTGGCCAGGGTAGAGGGTAGGTAAATTTTGACGTAGGCAAACTTAATGTAATTTTATTTGCTAGCTATTTTTGTTTTTTTTTTTTTTTTTTTTTTTCAAACCCATCATACAAAAAATCTGTTTAAAAACAAGTAATTATTTATAAAAGCTGCGGCATCTAAAAAATCCTTCCAAACATTTAAAAAGTTGTTCCAAATTATCAGCAAATTTCTTTGAGTGTACACAAGAGGGAAGTTTAACATCATTAACAGTTCTACTATTATTACCCTTAAATCCCCCGAGGATAGACTAAACGCTTCAGTCTACTCACATAATAGTATAGAACAAGGCATTGGATATAACAACAACAACAAAAAGACTTACCGTTCCAAACATATGAGGATGCATGCGGAATTCTACAGAACCACCTGATGAACGTCGAGGTTTATTCATGTCTAGCCTCAGAATGCCAGGCTTGGGGCGACGATTCACGGCCGACATTATTGGTTGTTGCATGGCTTGTTGTTCGCTCGTTGTTCCCAACGAACTTGTTGAGGGATAAACCAAAGGCGATGTCGTTGAGGCGGCCACTGATGTGGAAGACAATGGTTGAACCATAGATGGAGCTGTAAAGGTGGATAATCGTCGCCTTTGTTGTGGCAACAACTGGGGTGGTGGTGGAGAAGTGGTTGGCTGTTGCTCCATCTCATGCTGCTGGTGTTGCAACAAGCGAGGCTGTCGCTTAATTTCTTCTAGTATACCTTTGGGATCTTCAAAAAAGTTTTGTTTTTTCATGCTGGCGGATTCGAATGGACTCGTTGAAAATTATTTAACATTTGCAGGAAATGCAATTGTATTTGGTTCCAAAGAAGAAATACAACGGAAAACTTTTTTCATGAGATACTTCTTTTTTTGCACTTGCTTTATTGTTTATGTTTTTAGATAGTATATGGCTAAAAACGCGTACACGTCCGTTTAGCGCCGCATTCCAGGCAAGACTATAACTTGAATTCATTAAAAACTACAACAATTGTTGGCTGGCTCATCAAGTGGACGTCAGAGAAATTGTGGCTATTAAAGGAAGAACAACAACAACACACACACAGGCATTTAGTAAAATTTACTGTCTTCACATAAAATAGAGAAAATAAGATACACATACACATAGCCATACAACTAATGTCCAGAATTACCCAAAGGTGTATTTGTGTGTGCTTACACTAACACACTAAAGCTTCTGTACACTTCACGGCCACACAATTTCACATATTTATTATCCTTTTTTTACTATCCTGTTGTACTTTATGATATGCCCCTTTTTGTGTCCTCCATTGCGTCTTTGTGTCACAGCAGCGGCTGTTGTGTGCTGCTTATCAGACGCACTTCTTTTAATTTAAAAGTTCAGCATTTGTTGTTGCCTTCATCCTTGTGCGTGAATGTAGTTGGTTGCCGCCTTCATCCGGTTTGACATTAACATGTTGCTTTTTAACGCTTCCATTGCGGTGCTGATGTTTATCGTCTCTTTTTCGCTGGCATGTCAGTTATGAAAGCAAGCAACAGTTCGTCGCCTGTTTTTTTTTCGTATTAGCTGTCACATCAATTCGCGCATAAGAGGCCTGTGAGTGGGAATAAGCTTGTATGTTTGATTGTATGCCTTTTTAATAATAACGTCATATTTGTGGCCTTAAATAGACGTTAACAAAAATATTTTATAATGAAAAACCACAAGCAACAGTGGTTTGGTGGTATTCAGTTCAACAATTGCTACAGAGGGTATATAATATTTGATATGCCCAAAACGTGCCTCATCGAATTAACGGTTTTCGACCCTAGGTCTCTTTGGACCAAATCCGTTTCAGGACATTTGGAGTCGACTTAGAACTGAGTACCCGATTTGGTCCTAACTTGGTAAATCGTAATATAATTGTCAAACTTAGATTGAGTTCGGAGCTGGCAACATCGGCCTACTCATCCTGGTACCTCCCCCAAACAAAGAAAGTATGGTAAACTTTACGCAAACTTTGCAATTCCCTATATATGGAATATGGAATATATTGGCTCACTCCACCAAGTACCTCCCCCACATAGTGTCAAAAAAAATTACAACTCTCATGAAATGTGAAATAAGTGCCCGATTGTCCTCAAATTTGCACGTATCAATATTTTTCTCAACACCAGTTCTAGTGTGGAGATGGGATATATTGATTCACTCCTTCAGGTACCTACCCCACAAAAGGTCAATATTTTGATAAATCATCTCTCTTATAAAATGTGAAATAAGGGTCTCTTAGTCCTAAAATTTCACATCACAATCATTTTAATAACACAATATCAGGTATTAAGAACCTCCACAACAGGTCAAAAATTTGAATAATTATAAGTCCCAAAAAAAGTAAAATAAAAGCCTGATTGTCTTCAAATTTCGTCCATCTCAATATTTTTATCAACACAAGATCAGGTATGAAGAAGAAATACATGGGAGCACTTCTTCTGGTGCCTCCGCCAAAACGATTCAAAATTTTAAATAGTTTTATCTCCCAGAAAATGCGAAATAAGCATCTGATTCCTTTTAAACTTTGTACATTTCAAAATTTCTACCAACACAATATTTGGTGTAAAGATGATATATGTCGACCTACCCCTTTTGGAACCTCCCAACAAAAGGTGAGCATTTATATATCTTATAACTTGCGAAAAAAGTCAGCGATTCTTTTTAAACCCATTATATCTGAATATCTCTCGCAACAAGGAATCTGAATCGGAAATAGCATCAACTTTTAGAATAAGTTTAGATTTGTTCGAATTGGTCACCTTTGGCACGAATTATGGCCTTCAAACGGCCAATGTCACACGCTGCCCGAATGTTGCTCTACGGTATTTTGGCCCATTCCCGGCGAAGCGCTTGCTTGAGGTGATCTACACTTTGGTATTTTTTAGTTCCAACCTTGCTTTCCAAAATACTCCAGGCACAATAGTCCAACGGCCATTGTGCGCTGGAAATAAAACGAGGAATGAAATGGAATGGAAGATGGTGCTGAGTCCTGTTGGAATGTCCAAGGTCTGCGGCCAAAATGTTTGCGTGCCCAAGGCTTTAATACACCCTCCAGAATATTTTCGCGATAATATTCGTCATTTATTCTGACGCCACGGTCGATTAATACGAGCGGAGAGCGACCATCGGCGGTTATGGTGGCCCACACCATCAGCGTGGCCGTCGCTTGAGTTCTGGTGGCCAACCGAAGGTTCACATTTTCAGCTGACCTCTTTGGCAAGTAAACACGATCATTTTGTTTGGTTACAAACTGCTGGACAACGAATGTTTTCTCATCGTAGAAAACCAAATTCGGCGGTTCACTACTTTCGGCCAAACGAAGCAACTCTTTATCTCTTTTGAACCTATTTTCTTTCCGTTGCGGTGTAAGTTCTTGCACTTTTTGGAATTTCAAAGGCTTTCCCACGAGCTCATTTTTCAACATTTGCCGAATGGAATATTGCGATATGTTCAACTCACGAGCCATATTTCTGCCACTGCGACGCGGGTTTCGATCAAGTCGCTTCTTTACTTTTCGAACCATTTCTGCTGATGTTGCTGTTTTCCTCTGTCTACTTTCTTGACGTAGCCCGACGCTACCAGTATCACGGCAACGAGTGATGGTACGAGATACAAAAGATTTATTTTTATTAAATGCTGGAGTGCTCTAACCATAGCCACTTGTGGTTTTCCAGCCAAATATAAAGAAATCACACTATCACGCTTGAATTCCATCACGAATAACTTTTTGTCTGGAAAATGCTCACCAAAATGCTGTTATACGCTTGTAAACAATATAATGTGGCTTAGAAATGTGGCTTAGAAATGCAGTCTGAAGTTGGTTGCATTTTTTCAGCTCACCCTGTATGCCGGCCTGCACCTTTTGGAACCTCCCCAATAAATTGTCAGTATTTATGGGCCCACTCCTTCTAGTACCTTCCCCACAAAAGTTGAACATTCTGATTCGCATAAAATTGGAAATAAATGTTTGTGTATATCGGCTTACTTTAAAAACGACATGGACAAGGACACCGGAATTGTGTTAAGAAACGTTTTTGAAAATCATAGTGGCCTATGACAAAAATTGCGTGTCCACGTCTTCATATATGTAGGCCCCAATATAACGGTAACTTCCTACATTCGGTATTTTTATGATTTTATCAGAATTTTTAAACGGATTTTTTTTTTTGGGAATTTTGCAAATTCCTTCCAAATGGTGGAGGGAATTCAAAGTTCGGCCCGGCCGAACTTACTGCTTGTTTACTCGTTGCTTTCTCCTAAACTATCTTTTTTCCAAAGTAATGTTCTAGAACATGCTTTTGAGCAGGGCTGCTTTACTGCACATTAAAAATAAATATAAATCATTAAGGAAAGCTAAAAAGTCGGGCGGGTCCGACTATATGATACCCTACACCACTATGCGTATTTAGTAGAGGTGCCGGGTTCATTCCAAAAAGGGTACCCATTTAGTCAACATTATACTACAAGGATTGTTATCTTTTGCACGTCTTAAATGCCAAATTTGAAAATACCAAATATCAGTCAGTATATGGCGCCTATAGGAAAACATGGACCTAGATATTCCATGTTCTGCCACTGGAGCTAGAACCCATTATAAACTACAAGTATTTATTTTTAGACAAATCCGTGGAAAAATGTGACACCGTTACTATGGGGGCTATACGAAAACGTGGACCCATATAATGTTCTGCAGCGGAGTTAGAGCCCATTATGACCTACAATTACCAATTTTTAGACAAATCCGTGGAAAGATGTGGCAAAAATCATGAAAATACCCAATATCGGGAGGTACCGTTACTATGGGGGCTTTACGAAGACGTGGACCTATACATACAATGTTCCGCCACCGGAACTAGAACCCATTATGACCTACAAATATTATTTTTTAGACAAATCCGTGGAAGAATGTGTCATCAAAATACCGAATGTCGGGAGGTACCGTTATATGGCGGCTATACCAAGCCGTACTTTATGTATGTTTATATAAAATTCTCCTACTAAGTATAATATTAAAAGAATAATGTCTTTATCAAATTTCACTAAAAATATTTCCAATTTTTATACCCTACAACACTATGTGTTGGGTGTATTATAAGTTTGATTGGGCCAGAATTTATGTAACACCTCGAAATATTGGTTTCCCATATAGAAAAGTATATATGGATCTTCCTAGCTCGCCGAGCTGAGCCGATCTAGCTATGTATGTCCGTCCGTCCGTCTGTCCGTCTGTCCGTCTGTCCATGTTAATTTGTAATCACGCTACAGGTCACAATTATGGCCCGATCCTACCGAAATTTTGCACGAAGGTGGGGTTTGGGTCAGAATAGAAGCCTATTTCTTTTGGAGATGATCGCCAAATGTTTAGGGGTTGAAATGGACCAAATATTGAAAAAATGTCGGATTTTGCAGTAGCTATACAGGTCGCAATTATAGACCAATCGACGCGGAATTTCGCATGTAGCTAGAGTTTAGGGCAGGGAAGAAGCCTACCAATTTGGGTGGTCATCGGATAATATTTAGCGGGTAAAATAGACCATATCTTTTGTGATGAAAAAATTCAAAATTTTTCATTAAACCGGGAATATTTTAGATCCCGACGAAATCACAAAGCCATGACAAGGTTACTTCTGATCTTTACATCGAAGTTAACATCCAACAAATCAGATATATAGCAAAATATGTACGATATATATGTCTAAAAAAGAAGATATGCTTTAAAGATCTCTTATATGTCGAGAACGAC